AAAAAGAGGGAGGGGGGGGGGGGGGGGGGGAGAGAGAGCGGGAGGGAGGGATGCAGGCAGAAAGACAGACACCATACTTCTGCTTCTGAGGTGCCTAAACTATGGCTGCTTTTCAACTTCTCTAAAATACTTTCCTACATTTTCCAAACTACATCACAAAATTTTAAAAAGCTTGTAAAAAAAAAGCTTCTGTTAAAATCAAAATTACATATTAAGGGAAAGATCATTTGGACCCTCTGGTTCCTTTGAGTTTACATATGCCAAATTCTGTTCCACAGTATTATTCTCAGCTTCAGAGTCTAAATTTACCAGAAACCATTCCAACCAGAAAGGAAAGTACAAAGAAGTATGAAAAAGTATCAAGTGCTTGCAAGCTCTATTCAAATCAAAAAGGAGAGCACCATGCACGTTTGCTTTTTGGTTTGTTTTAATTTGGGGGTTTTGTGGGGGTTTTGGGGTTTTTTTTTAATGAGACAGGGTCTCAGTAGTTCAGGCTGGCCCTGAACTCACTATGTAGCCCAGGCTAGTCTTGAACTCACAGCGATCCTATTGCCTCTGCCTCTGCCTCCCAAGTGCTGGGATTACAGACGTGCACCACCATACCTGGCTGTTGTTTGTTTCGCTGTTGTTGTTGCTATTTTTCTTTTTTCCAATACTGGGGAATTGAACTCAGGAACTTGCACTTGTAAGGCTGGCATGGTGCCACTGAGCTAAATCCCAATCCTTTTTTAAATAAGATTTTTTCATTTTTTTCCCAGTACCAGGAACAGAACTCAGGATCTTGTGCTTGTCAGGCAGGCGCAGTGCCACAATTCTACATCCCCGGCCCAATGCTGAATGAGAAAGAGAAATGTCAGAAGTAAAACTCAGAGTCTTACCGTGAAGCTGTTGTTGACATTTTTGGTGCTTGATTCGGCCACACTGGCATCTGTTAGGTCCACCTCATCAAATATGATGGACTGGAAAGAGAATCACGGGGCTCAGACATGCAAGGCAGGCATCCCAAGCAACCTACGTGGCCCACCTCAGCCACCCCACCAAATTCAGATTCCCTGAGCCATTGGCCTCCAACCAATAAAAAAATGGCAGATCAATGCACCTACCCACCTGCAGCTCACGGGGATACTGTGTGATTTCTTTTACTATAAGAGTTCATTACTGATGGCATTGATGGAAAGAAATAAAAAAATTTAAAACCCAATGCTGACACTTCTGTTTTAATTTTTTTAATCATACATTACTTTAAAACTAATATCAAATGTCTAAATACAACTGTGTCCTCAGGCAATCTACCTGAGAGAAAGCCCAGGCAGACCAAGGACCATCCTTCCTGCAGCTTTAGTTTCCCAAGCCAGCACATTTAGATTTTGTTTGTTTGTTTGTTTGTTTTGTTTTTTGAGACAGGGTCTCACTATGTAGTTGAGACTGACCTGGAACTCACTATGCAGCCCAGGCGGGTCTCAAACTCACAGCAATCCTCCTGCCTCAGCCTCCCAGGTACTGGGATGACAGGCATGCACCACCACACCCAGCTGCACATTTAGAATTTAAAATAAATTATCCAAAGAAGAGACAGGCCACAACAGCAGGGCAGAAAACCTGGGAGCCCAGCAGAAGAAGTTTCATCCCAGGACTGGGGATTTCATTCATTTGGTTCTTGCCTCACAAGTGCAAGGTCCAGAGTTTAATCCCCAGAACCAAAAAAAAGAAAAGAAAAGAAAAGAAAAGAAAAGAAAAGAAAAGAAAAGAAAAGAAAAGAGAAAGACATTTCATCCCAAAGCCCATGCAAGGCTTGGGAACTAGGCACAGGAAAACTCCCCTCCCTTTCTTCTCTTTCTCCCAAGTGCCCACATCACAGCCCTCACCTCCTATTTACTTTACCATTCTCTCTGTTCGAAGATGACTCTGTACAAAACTCCTGGAGGAAAAACTAGTAACTGAAAGAAGAAATTCAACCTTTTTCTCTGAGGTTCAACCTTTTTCTCTGAGGTTCAACCTTTTAAGTAACCTATGCCCAGACTCCTTTCCAAACAAGTTGCTTTGTTCACTATCAATTTTAGCCACTAACTCTCTAGGGATGTGTCTCCAAAATATAAATGATTCTGATTTCATGTATCTTCAATACTAAAATATCAGTGCCGCTACGAATACTGACAGAAAACTACAGATGTTCGGAGTGACAGCCAGCACACTTCTGAAATGCCTGGCACCATGCTCACAGAAGCGGGAGCACCAATGCCTCTCCTGCAGCTGCACTGGGCACCGAGAAAGAAGACTGTGCTAGAAAGCCTAGAAACAACGAGCTTCACCTCTCTGCTCACACACGGAGAGGCCCCATATGCTTCAAAACAAGCTTTTAAGCTTGTCATAAGAGATCCGCAAGTCTGTGGATGCCCCCGCTCCCTTCGCAAGGAAGATACCCAACTGGAGTTAACTCCGTGCCCCTATTCTGCTTCCCCCACTGGTAATAAATGACAATAGAAAAAAAAATGACCTTTATAAGAGTAAAACATGGCTTGAGACAAGTAAAACCTGACTCCCTGCACATTACAAAACTAGCTGGAAGTAAGTCTGTGACTGGGAGCTCCCGCGTTCCCACCTGCCCTCAGGGACTCAGCCCACACCAGGGCCCTGGTGTCCCTCTCGGAGTTTACCTTTGCAGTCTTGGCGTAGTACAGCGTTCGCCCTCGGAGCTTAAAGTATCTCCTTTTTGATCGCTGGAATGAACTGTTCTGTTTGGTCAGCATCCCCTCTTTGATGATGGTCTGAAAGTACAGAAACATATCCATGAACATGCGTGCGAAGACGCCCTTGCCCATCAGCTGAGACTCCCCTGCTGGGGCCAGGCACACTCGTGTCTCCAAGGGCCAAGCAGCCCACCAGGGCAATGCATCTCACATTCCTCCAGACCCAGACCCGTGCACAGGCCAAGGGTGCCGCTGCGGATGGTGGAGCCGGGACCCCAACTCTCCACAGGGTAACCGCACACCTGTGCTGGGCAGGGTGGCAGAGCCTCTAGGTGAGCCCTGGATATGTCAGCAGACTAGTGAAGGGATAACTGAGGCTCACAGGACTGCAGTAAATGGCAGCTGGGAGGACAACGGGGACATGAGGCCAGCACATTCTCCAACTTTAGCATTTGGTATTTTTCAGCTATTCTTGGCTCTGTCTCCGTGTTCTCTGGCCTCCTGCCATTTCTCAGGATCCTGTTGCCAAATCTGTCTACGTCCGCTGCTCTGGGGTTCAGCATAGCTCCAGGCCTGCGTTATACTCTGTCATCTCCACAGTTCACAGGCCGGCACAGACGTTCATGCCCGATGAGAGAGTGCGTGGTCCCACTGACACATCCCATCTGCTGGCACTGATGAGTCCACCACATGGGGGACAGTCCTCACCTCTCCAGGGAATCCTGAACTCACCGTGGCTCGATCACAAGGACAGAGGGACATAGCTTCTCTGGAGCTGTCCTCTCCTCGTGTGTCCTGAGTACAGGACCCGTAGGGGACACTGACCCTGCACACCACTTGAAGTCAGACACTCAAGGAAATATTCCATCACGAGACACCCAGAAGTCACTAACCCAATGTGACTAACAAACAAGGGACAGGGACATGGCTCAGTGGACAGCACTTGCCTAGCATGCATGAGACCCTAGGTCCAATCCCAGCACCACAGGAGGAAAAATAATAATAATAAATACACAGGAAAACCAGAACCTGGCTCTCAGCATCTGATACTTTCCTGTAACACACCCAGCAGCAGCATCTATTCCACAAGGGATCTCGGCATAGAAACAGGGAGAATTTATAGAAGCTGTCCAGAGACAAGCACACTACCTCAGAGAAGTAGCTGTTCAACTACCTAGTCCTAACAATAGCTCTGTACTTAAGTCACTTTTAAAAACAATATATGTATGAAGCACTTAAATTTCAGGGTCCATTTAAAGCTTCCTGAGATAAAATCTGTGTGAAGCAGACCCAGATAAAGGTGCCAGGATCCAAGCGCAGCACACTGGCTCATGAGGACCCCTCCAGCCTGCTCCTCACAGGGGTGGGAGGGAGTGAGCAGGCAAGGAGGTAGGAGTGAGCCTGGAGTGAGTCCAGAGAGCGCCCACGGCCCAGCACACAGTGCCTGGGGTCTCCTCTTCTACACTGCAGGACAGGCTCCCTGGGGCAGGGTAACCACACATGCCAGCACCCACTCCCCAGCCCCCTAGGAAAAGGTCTGTGCTCTGCTCCAGACAGCCAGCTGCTCTTCCCAAGGCCCTCCACCGAGGCTGCTGCAGGGGAAGAGCTGCTGTGGCTTGTGCCTCTCCCAGATAACCAGAGTGCCAGGAAGAAAAAGAGTAGAGCCCAACATCACTGGGGGAGAGGCACACACAGCAGGCTGCAGCCACTGGCAGGCGGGTCCTGTGTGGAAACAGCAAGGCCCTGGAAGCTGGAGCGTGCCCTAGTCTGCAACACGCAGGAACCGGCACCAGGGTCTGCCGGAGCATCCTTCCACATACACACAGCCACAGCAGCCCCCACCTTCTGGGGACTTCTGTGTGGACACCTCCTCACCCACTCACCTTCCTGACCTCTGCAGGGGAAGAAATCGCTTCCATCTCTTTCCTAAATGCAAATTTTAAAAAAGAAAAGACAACAAAACCAACAAGCCAAACACACGAAAGTTGGAAGTTATCTTTAAAAGGACAGATGCGAGAGTATTTTTTTCTTTCATCTCCTATCTAATATGTGAAAGAAAAAGCAAAATGAAAACACATTCCGCTCTAATGTGCACCCACAGACACACACACACCCACCACAATCTTTCAGAAAGCGGATGAGAGCCTGCGATCTTGAGCTGCCCAAGGAGACCTGTTGTTCTATAAATAGAACAAGTGTGCTCAGAAAAAACTCTGGTGGGTTTTAGCGGAAAAGGCTGGGGAAAAGATAAAGACCAGTATTTCTTTGAAGCTTTCTCAGAAACTGCATTTCTTCTGATTTGCTGCTCCCAAATACTATAGATAGGCAGCAGAATATTTTTAAACATGATGAACTAAAAGTGGTCAAGAAAATCACACCCCAAAGCCATCTGTTGTGTCGTGCACTAGGCAGCCTGCAAGAGGTACCACAGGAAATGCTGCTGGGCTGGCAACCTCTCCCACCACAGAGCAGCACAAGCCAGGTCCAGAGCCTGCGTGCTCATGCGGTTCCATGTGCAAACCGAAGGGGGACTCTGCTGTTCAAGCCACCTCCGTACCCACACAATGGTCAGGGACAAACCAGCAACACACAGGCACTAAGAAGATGCTCAGCCAACAGTCAGACGGACCCCACAAGTGGAAAAACCTGGCTACGCCATCCTCCAACTGAAGGCAAGGAGAGGAACTCCAAGGCAGGGCCTGAGGCAGAAGAGAGCCTGAGCCTAAGGTGTCCCTAGAGCCACAGCCACCGCTGATCAGACAGACACACAGCCCACCACCCAAGACGGCATGGAACCTCTGTGCAAGGCGTAGAAGGCTGCAGCAGTCTCAACTCCCCAAGGAAGCTCTAGAAATTGCTCCAAAAGGCTTCAACCAGTGGACAAAGCCCTTACCAAACACAATCCACCAGGTGTCCCCTGGAAGGAGTCAGTAGGGACTCCATCACAGGGTAGGGATTCCCTCTCTTTCCTGCTGCCCCTCTTCAAACACAAAGCAGCATCTGACACAGGAGCTTGGACTGCAGGAGGACAGATGGGCACACACAGTGGCACCTGGGGGGTTCAGTGATGCCTCTCCACAGGAGGGCCAAAAATATAGTATCAGGAGACACAAAGCATCTGAGCAGCGGGAACTCAGGGGCTGTGGTGGCCATGGCTCCCAAGCTGCCCACGTTGCTCCTCAAGGTAAAGAAAGAGGCCAGCAGCACAGGGCAGGGAGAAAGAATGGCCTCGGATCACTGTCCAGCCATTATGTGGGTCACAGGGCTCCTAATCGGCCTGGTGCCCCAGATGTCTATTTTAAAAAGATGAGGACACAGGACAAAGATCCCAGATGACTCCAACATGTCCAGCTCAGAGTGGGAGGCCATGCCGAGTCGGTGGCCCAGGGAGCCCAGCATGGAGCCGGCACTGCTCTGAGGGCCCCAAAGGAGCTTCCTGGGGAAGGGGAGAGGCGGGGAAACCAGGACTGAGGACTCTGCTGACTCTGGCTCAGGGGCACGGAGGAGGAGGAGAGAAAGAAAGGACAGTGACAAGAAACTGGCAGACACCAGGAGAGGGAGCATACTGAGAAGATGGCACAGGTGAGGCCAGGCACAGCACCGAGGTGGTGAGTGAGGCCTGGGGGGAGGGCACCGGGCACCCACCCCAGCAGACTGAGCGGCGGACAGAGGGCCAAGCCACGGAATCGCACAGGGAGAGCACAGCCCGAAGCAACAGGCAGAAGCAGAGATGATAGGGTTTCGGACTTACAGGCTTCTTAACTTCCCGCAAACATGGACTCACTGTACACACGGCACCCATTAACACAAACACTTCAGGCACACATCTGCAGGCTAAGTGTCTGCATGCGTCCCGAGTGCTCCTTACAGCAAATCCCGGAAAAGGAATTTGGAAAAGCAGGCCTTGGCGGCCTGGGAGCCTGACGTGTGACGGAGGTGGTCATGCAGACTCCAAGGAGGGACTGCTGGATGAAGAGTCTGAGGAGGACCAACTGGCTCCTTCCCTCATGAGCCAGACACACACACACGTGAGTTCTGGGCAGATTCTGGATGTCATTCAAAAGGCAACATTTTAAACTTTAAACACACAATATAGAAGCATTTCTTTATTTCTTCTGGGGTTTTTTTTCCCAGATGGATTACAAGTTTCTGTTGAAAACAGGGAAGAAGCCTCATTCTTGTCCCCACTAATATGAGGAGGCATGGAACCAGGAAAGAGAGTAGCACCCAGATCCCTACAAGCTGCCCTGAAGCCTGCCCTTCCCCTAAATCACAGCCACGCCCCTGCCAGGGACACGTCCCTTCCTGCCAGTGACTGTTAACAGCCACACCCATGCCCACATTAATCCTCTCCCCGCACTGCTAGGAACCCGCAAGACCTCGATTCTCTGTGGGGCACCCTTCGTCACATGCTGATTCCTTGGCCCAGGTCAAAAAGACCTAGGCAGCAGAGGCCCTGCTGGGGTGGGGAGGAGGGCCAGCTGTTTAACGGGAATCAGACAACAGGTGTGCGTGTGTATCAACTCCACCTTTTCTCCTCTTCTCTGCCTTCAACATAGTCACACATCTCAGGCTACAGCAGCCATATTGAAGCCAGGAGGTAGCAAGCCTGGGTCCTGGCACCATCAACAGGCAGCCCACTGCATCCCGTCTGAAAAGGGTCACTCTGAGATCAGCTGGTAGAGCGGAGGACTGTAGGAAATCTCCATGAAAAGGGCCACTCTGTTCTGGTACGCAGTGCTGGTGTCCTCAGGGTCAAAGGCACCACACCGGAAATGTCCTCACCTCAAACCACTGTCTTCACTGACCTCACGCTCAAACTGATCCTATCCCAGGCACGTCCTCCTCCTGCCACCAGAGCTAACAAAAGAATTGGGCTCATTCAGCTCCTTCCTCCACACTCCCAGGCCTGCCCAGCAGGCAAAGCAGTGCCATCTGTTGTGCTTGTTAACTACTGAAGACTCTGCCATCCCCTGGTGAGCTGCAGTCCTCACCTCAAGCCTCCCACAGAGCTCTCTCTGAAAGAGACTCAGACCCCTGCATGGTCTGAGTGCAGGTCAGAAAGTGGGAATCTGTCC